TTTTATCCAAATGGGCAACCAAAAGACAGCAACCAAAACCCGCGCACGAAAGTGCATGGTTAATGGTTGTAAAACTGAATCTCGTGAGAAGGTCCTCCAGTTCGCTTTCTGCTATTTTGGCAAGTGAATAATATCATTTTCGTATGGAAGGTGCATGTAGCGAGTGGGGTCATAGTAAAAGGCTTTGAGAGGGCGGTGTTGAATCTGTTTTCATCTGTAACCCAAATATTCCCAGTCTGTGTCACTCTCGGTCGTTTTTTCACCTCAGTTGATCCCCGGTAGCTTTCTTCACATGAGCATATTCTATACTCCTACGCATTGATAAATTTGCTCGATTCTTTGTCTACTGGCATCTCTCCTCCTCCTAGTTTATATGATATTTCGATTGCGTCTCCACAGGCACGTACACACACGTGTCCCTCACGAACACACTTTCCCCGGCACATTTTTTGTCTCGTTTAATTGTTTGCCTTTGATATTGCTCTCAACATTCCAGCCTTCTTTTTTTATCCAAATAGACAGGCTGAGTAGGTGGTTGCTGCAGAACTGAAAACCGGAGGTTAATGATAGAAAAATAAATGTATGTCATGGCGAATCGTTCAAACGAATTCAAAACATCGATTGACTGGGCTGTTGAGAGATAAACTTAATAAATCCTCACCGTTTCAAGGCAAATCAGATAACAGTAAGGGAGAACTTCAGCTGACTACATCTAGAAGAATGTCTTGAAAGGATTCATGAGTTCGAGGCTGTTACCCAAATTTCCTGGTTCTCTGGAGGGATTTGTTGCTTTCTCTTCATTGAAGTGATTCTAGAACACAGCATACTGGAAGGGTGTTGTAAACCTTCGGGTAAATGCCCTCGGGATATATTTTTTATCAGGAAGCTAAATTTCACGGACCGAAGAGCAGTACTTATCTTCATTCACGCGACCATTTAGATTATCAGGGAGCTGAAGCAAAGCACAACTTATTGCGATGGTCTTCTGTTGAGGAACCAAAAACACAAATACCATCCATATGGGCATGCTGCCCCTGTAAATGCACTTTCAGTCCTCAGTTAAAACAATGTGAAAGTGTGCAGTGTGTAAATCAAGTCTTGGGGAAATTTTTGCACCAGATAATTTGACGAGCGATTCTTTCGTGATCGGAAGCGGAAACTTTTTATCAAGCAGATCCGTGAATTGTTTTCAATGACGCACAGTTGTGCGATGTACAACAGACAGGCTGGGCCCCGTAGTCAAGAAGACTTGCTATTCAGTGATGGAAATCGGTAACCTAAGCCCCAGTACATGGAGTAGCGGACATCATAAGGCCCTGTTGGATCAGGCGTGGTATTGAACCGGACGGCAGCAAAGCTTCTTGTCATCAAAGTTGGGTGGCGGGATTCGAATCTGGGACCATAGGATGTAAAGCACACCAGTGACAACTACAAACCACTGAGTTACCACCACTCTATATCACCATTTATCGTCAATACCGCAACTAGAAAAGGACATTTGACGGTGCGAGTACTGAACCTACACAATGTGGCTTCTCGCACGCCGTTCCTCTATTTCGAAATGATCCTGCTGATAAACCTTAAAGTTCATGGAAGATGACCTTTATGATGTTACAGTTCTACGTGCTTTTAATTCTACATTAGAACTTACAAATTAATTATGCTTTAACTTTCTTTGATAAAGATGATGGTACCGTGACTTGTTTGGTACAATCTGAACTCAGGCGTGTAAAGATATATATATATATACATCACAGGCTGAAGACCGAAAGACTGCAATTGGTTGACTGGAGACAGAGCAGCATGGACGTTTTTCTTATCATTTCTAATCAGGCCCGACTGTTTAAACATATAAGTCTGCACAGTTGAAGGGTGTTTACTTTGAAGAATCGCTTCCTCTTCTCCTCCAAAACAAGCGCACTCTCCGTCTACCTTGCACCTTATTACTCGTCTTTTGTGTATTGTGAGCTTGGCCGAGCTCAACTCTGTTCACTTCGATATCTCTGGTTGCACGCCAATGATTATCAAACTTCTTCCATATTAACGTATGGCGTTTTCATTATATGCGTTCTCTCCTTTTCAGCAGTGAGAGCCAGTGTGTCTTGTTTGATGCAGTGGAAGAAGCATAGCTTTGTTCGTGCCTTCCCAGTGCTGGGCACGGTGGTCGTGTCAGCTTTTGCCATTTCATACACATGGAACTATGCGCGTCTAAAGAAAAGTTATCATATGAACCGCTTCGACTGGGACGAACCGAGTGTGCTTAAATTCTACAAAGATGCGACTTCCGGCTCGAAAGAGTGGAAAAACAAACGTGTTCCACGTGCGTGGGAAGAGGACCAGAATGCTCAAGAAAAATAAGACCACCAGTCCTCTTC